GCCTTAAATTTGTCAAACTGAAAGTCATAACTTGTATGAAAATTTAATTTTTGTAAAAAAAATAGTTTTTAAAGTTTATATATTTATTTAAATTTCCATTAAAATTTAATATATCAATATTTTTGAATTTCAATAATATTTGCAGACTGGCTTTATCAAGTATTACAATTAGGTTTCTACTGCATTGAAAAAATTCATATAATTAAGGAAGATATAGCAAATTTAGTTTTGGTTTCTTAAGAACAATTGGACCTCAAATTGCACCCTATAGAACACCAGCACTACACACTTTCTGACAGCTGTCACATGTTTTGCTTGCAAGGAAATTTCAAAAGACTTTATGTATGAAGTTGCAATAGTAGTGGCATGCAAAAAAATGCAAATATAAAAGTTTGACAAAAACATTGACCCTTTCAGGAATCAGTACACAATTAATAAAATCCGGTTCAGTACCCACGAATGTAGTCCCAGTCTATTTTTGATCACTTTTTCCTGTCTAAATTTGGTGGTGATACTAGATTTAGATTTTGGCATTCTTGGTAAGGATTTAAAGGCAATTGTTTATTCTTTAAAATGTGAGCTTATGGTGTGGTTGTCTGTGTGTATTTCGGCGACAGTGCACATTGAGTAATAAGGTCATGGTGATGATATAGAAGTGAAATCTGTGTTCCGTTGCCTGGTGTTTTGTTTACAATTCAGCCTCTCAAAAAAATGCAGGTCAACCCTTGACAAGAACTAAACTGTAAAGTCATCTTTGAAGGTATTTTAGATTAACATATGATTTGTATTGATTGTCACACAGTGGAAAGTTCAGTACTAAGAAACAAATGTAGAAACAATATAGTGAAATTAATTGTATTCTATGGCCTTATGTTTAGGCATTATGTGATTACACAATGCATTTATATATCTCCTAAATTGAAGAGCTTGACAGGGTGCAAAACCTACACACCATCGAAGCTGAAGATTTAACAAGTGCCTTAATAACGATGGACTTTTTCTATTTTCATAAACACGTGCCATCATATCGTTACGAAACATTTAATTTATTTCAAATTACAGCCAAGACATAGAATAGGTTGAGCTTTCCCAGACAATGAAAATTACAAAAGTAACGGGGACAAGCACAAGGAAGCTAATCGACGTAGGAATAATATCCAAAAGAGAACAGTTTACTAGTCGTATTGCAGAGGTGCTTACTTCGCGTCGATGGTGCAAAATGATATATGGCATTGTACAACGGTGGTCATAATATCCTTCACCTGGCAGGAAACCGAAATTATATAACTATCGTACACTGTCTCTGTTATAACTAGCAGAAAAGGAAAGTCACAACAATGAAAGGATGAAAGAATTATGACCGAAGTTGTCCATTGGACAAAAGTTACTTAACCATTGTAAGAAAAAAGTCAAGAAACAGGGCACACACACACACACACACACACACCAAAATGATACATTCTTGTATGGTTTTGTACGATTTGAAACAATAAGGCAAGACATAACACCCACCATTACGTTGATATACAAATTTACAAGGGCAATTTATTATTGTTATTATTGTTTTTATTGTTCCAGTGATTATTTATATTATTATTATCATCATCATTATTATTATCATCATAATCGCAAATCATCCCGGTAATTTTGTCATAATTGAATTGATATACACCGTAAAATTTCGGGTATAATACTCACGCAGACTTTCTCTTTTCACTGTAATGCAAAAATCTTAACACCTATGTATAATACGCACCCGGTATTTTTGTTTTTGCGTATGTAGATACTTAAGATCGCCAGTGCTTAATCGGCGCATAATTGATCTAATTCAGCGCTATAGCCTACAGAACATTTCTAAAACTCATTTTGATGATCTTTTGGTGAAAGGAACAGTACCGACATTTATCACTAAAATAAGTTTCATTTATATGCATAATATATTACTTATTTAATAATATATATATATATATATATATATATATATATATATATATATATATATATATATATATATATATATATATATATATATATATATATATATATATATATATATATATAGTGCAGAAAGTTGAATCAAATGGCGATTGACATACGGTACCGTCTTTGACTTGCCATACAACAAAACTTTAGTAAAGAAACATCTAGGTATAATACGCACTTCTAGTTTAGAAATAAAATTTTCGTTAAAAAACTGTATTATACCCGAGATTGTACGGTAAGTAATATAACTTAATGTTAGCTGGTGGGTGTGTTTCTGCTATTGTTAATCTTCTACTCATTATTTTAATCTTCTACTCATTATTTGTATTATTATTATTATTATTATTATTATTATTATTATTATTATTATTATTATTATTATTATTATTATTATTATTATTATTATTATTATTATTATTATTGCAATTTTTTATAATTTAATGATATATAAGTAATAAAAGTTACTGTTATCTGGTGGGGTTTTTTTTTTTGCTGTTGTTAAGCTTATACTCTCTGTTGTTATTATTATTATTAGTAGTAGTTGTAGTAGTAGTAGTGATAGTAGTGTTGTTGTTGTTGTTGCTGCAAATAATCCGGTAATTTTGTCATAATTTGCATGGGTATATAAGTAATAAAAGTTACTGTTATATGTGTTAATGATGTTTTTGCTGTTGTAATTCTTCTAGCAATCATTGTAGTTGTTGTTGTCGTCGACAAAAGTCCAAGAAGGTGGCTTTCTTTGTCTGTTCTTTGGTGGGTCCATTTCCACCAACAAAGTGCAAACTATATATATATATGTTTCCTTCGTCACATTTTTAATGGCAAAATCACGTCGGCCGCAATTGGCATACCCATCGCATACACCTATCTGTCTCCTTGTCAGGCTTTGGAAAACCGTTTCCAAATACAATGAACCAAACACCATCTTTCTGGTATCACGAATCACTTAAATCATAGCAACAAAGCTTGGTGGTTACCAAATTAAATAATTACTTTTCCAGAAGAATATATAGCTTATTTATAAATTTCAAAATGCTGGCACCATCCGTGTTCTAAAACAAAATGGCCTCAGACGGGGCAATGGCCTCATGGTTTACTTTTAAGACAAGGCTGAATTAAGTACAAACGCAAAAACGTTTCTCGTCCAAATGGAGACCCGTGCCATTTTCGGTTGGAACCTTCTCATTTAAACGCTTATGTCGTAACAATTGATGTAACTATCTTGATTCATGCAGGCACTCATGTCAACGGTTATTTCTTACGAGAACATTAAATGCATTTATATTTAGGGATATTATCTATCATATATGATTCCGAAACTCATTTTAGTTTCATCTAATTAAATTGTAATGATCTTACATACTAATTTATTATTATTATTATTATTATTATTATTATTATTATTATTATTATTATTATTATTATTATTATTATTATTATTATTATTATTATTGTTATTATTATTATTATAAAGAAAATATTAAAAAGGTCTATAAATTAATATATTAAGCAACTTCAGAATGAGTACAAAAAATAAAAAAATAAATATAGAAAGACAATAAGATAAAGAAAAAGGATGGAAGAGGGAAATATAGGAAAGTAATCGTTGTATGTAGGTAATATAACCATGCTATATATATGTATATATGTATATATGTATATATGTATATATGTATGTATATGTATATATATATATATATATATATATATATATATATATATATATATATATATTTATATATTTCTATATATATATATATATATATATATATATATATATATATATATATATATTTCTTTCTTTGTAATAGCATTTAATTTCCAATTGATAGCTAAATTGTTTTTTTTTTAAAATTACACAGAAAGGGCTATTGTAACAGAAGGAGCAAAGACATCTTTATTTCCTGCACCTGTCTGGAGGTGGTGCTAACTATCGGTTACAGGGAATAACTGACCTCGAGTCATATGTCGCTGTAGGAATTACAAATGGAATCCATGAAAATCTGCTTGCATATTACACTTGCACTTCGAATCTTGAACTCTTGAGTTTGTGAAGAGGAGCTTAGTTCGCGAACTGCAGGCGAAAGCAATTCGGTTCAAAAATGTTCATGACATCTGCATGCGTATCATTTTGTGTAAAGGGCGTTGTCTCGTTCTTTAATCTACACAATATAAGATGGAAAATGGAGATTTAATGTCCCATTTTAAAATTATCATGATAGACAGCGAAAAAGTTGTTTCTTATAATGTTTTGTTTCCAATGATTGCCTGCTGCTTTTTTGTTTCGTTTTTTTTTTCTTCGTTGTTTTGTTTTTCCATACCTTCAAATACAATTTCTGGGGCAAAAATCACTTAAGATTGTATTAGCATTATTTCGTGTTATTTTCGAAATAGTAGTCAGATTGTGCCTCTAGCTTCTTATCATCTTTTGCAAGACATCCAAACAAACATGGTGATGTTAGAAATCAGATGGCTCACAGCGTTTTCAGAGAGATAACAGGTTAAAGAAATGACTACCTCTTTATATCAATACCAAAGCTCTTTTTACAGAAACCAGTGAAGATTTCAAAAACAAATTTTAAAAACTTTTACATGCTTTTTGTGTGTGTATATATATATATATATATATATATATATATATATATATATATATATATATATATATATATATATATATATATATATATATATATATATATTTATATATAATCCGAGTAGGTGTCTTTGAGCTTTGTTAATTATTATTATAACAGAATGAATAAGTAGTTTTTCACTCTAGTTAGAATTATGGTGTGGTGTTTATAATTTATAACGTAGCTTTAACAATTTTCCAGTTATTTCGCTTCGATGTCTGCAATGTAAAAGTGATGTCTAGCATTGGGGCATCATGCCGCAGACATGTAGCATTATGTCCCACACAGTCACATTATCCTGACACCAGGCTGACCAGTCCTAACACTAACCTCTTAATGCTGAGCATCAAGCGAGGCAGCTGTTAGTACCATTTTTGTAATTCTTGCTACGACTCGACCGGGAATAGAACCCACGACCTTTCGCATCCGAGGCGGACGCTCCAACCTCTAGGCCACTGGAGCGGTTTAATTGTTAGAATTGTGTTATAGCACATAAAGGTGATGTTTGTACAATTTTCTTAGAGTCCACACCTTTAAGCTTATGTTCATTTTTTAAAGAAAATTTAGATATGAGATTGTAGGAAGAAATTTATCACCCGTAAAATTTGTGTACTCTTGGAAATGATACGAGTGTATGATGCAGGCTATAAAATACTGATTAACAGTTTATTTGTAAAGATAAAACAATTTTATTTTTTTAAAAACTAGGTATACTATTTTATATAATGCAAAAATGTAAAGCAAACGAAAGTTAACGCTCTTAAAATTCTATGAAATTAAACGTAACAGTAAAAAACTGTAAAGTCATAAAAACAAAGGTTTATAATTTGCCATATAAGCTGCATGCTTAAAACATAAACTTTTCTCAGGTGGATCTTTATGTCTGTGGGGGGGTTTCAATCAAATTTATAGCCAAGAAGACGTTCCAGTCGGCTGACACTGGTAAGGCATAAACTTCAGTCAAGGTTGTTCACCCTTCAGTAGTGGCGCATGATTCAGATATGCGTGAGGGATGTAATACCCACTCAATTTTGCCGTATATTTTGTGTCATTCAACTGTAGGAATTTGTCTTTCAAATCTTGATTGTGGAGTTTCAGGGTCGCTAAAATAGTGAGGATTTTGCTCGTGACAATTGAATTCCTGAAAATGTATCTTGCAGTTAATAAATTACAGGGAAATTAGATAGGAAAGAGTAGATATTGGATTCAGATCGCATTCAAAGCTAAGACAACGTCTTCCCGAGACGGACACTACTCGTAGCTCGCGATCTCTCAATATTTTGTTTCATTTATATTCTCATTCCATCTAGTGCAGCTCGCGATCTCTCAATATTTTGTTTTATTTATATTCTCATTCCATCTAGTGCAGCTCGCGATCTCTCACTATTTTGTTTTATTTATATTCTCATTCCATCTAGTGCCGCTCGCGATCTCTCAATATTCTGTTTTATTTAGTTATACTCTCATTTCATCTAGTGCTACTCGTGATCTCTCAATATTTTGTTTTATTTACATTCTCATTTCATCTTGTGCAGTTCAAGATCTCACAAAACTTTATTTAGTTTGGTTCTACTCTCAGTCCATTTGATGTAGCTTAAAAACTTACGGGGAATTTGTTTCTTTTGTTTATTCTCAGTCCTTCCAGTGCAACTTTAACCTGATTCATTTAAACATTAATTTTTCCACTAAATTTCCTCAAGTCAAAGTATCTTTATTTTCAATATTTATTTAACCTTTTACAGTTCGCTTGTTTTGGAAACCTGGTTAAATTTTGTTTTTAGTTTTGTTTCCTTTAGTTTCCCTCTGAACTGAATATCTTAATCATATCTTTTATCAACTACTTCTTGCTTTTCTGTAAAACAAAATATGATATATTTTGTAAAAATCACTAAAGTCTTGTGTAAATTTTTTATTTGATTCATTGACAATTTGATTAGTAGTTCTTTTAGACCTTTTAATTCGTTTTTAGTTATTTTCATATTTTAATAAATTTTCGACTAACTTTAGTATAAAAAGTGTTCAGCTAAATTTCTTTAGTCGATGTGATGTATGATGGAAGCATGCAGATTTTGTTACGTGGATTGTCTTTTCGCCTGCCTAAAATGTTTTATTCTCCAAAAACAAAAAATTTATTTCAGTAAAATTTTTCAATTTTAATTTTATTTTATTTAAGTTGGGATTTTTTTTTACGTAAGGAGATTGTTACAACTATTTAATGATAGATTTTGAGAACTTTTCAATACAATTATATGGTAGACATTACATAAATATTATTCTTTTACATTTTGTATTTACCTGCGTGTACCAGCGATGTCGAGCATTCGAGCGATTTGAGTTACAGAGTTTTACTGATATATAGATAAATTACACAATATAGTCGAGTGAATATATAAATAATAATTAGATTATAAATACAATTTTCACATAAATCAATGCCATAAGACCACACACACACACACGCACGCACACGCACACAACTATTTTAATCTGAACGTCTAACGTGATTGCATACTTTAGTTGAGCATCAACTAAATGAGGCTGTTTCTTACAACGTCTATTGAAACAAATAATGGTATTTAAATGCAATCTGCGAGTTAATATCTTAACTCAAAACATTGAAACGACTTGACTTTATTATAGCTTCAACATTAAAAGGATGTTATTATCCTAATCACCTGCTGTCGTTCTCACTCCAATAAATTTATTAAAATAGCATTCATTCTTTCTACAAGGTAAACTTTCTTTCTCTAACAACAATTTTCCTTAATCCATCCACTACGCATTTGCATCTTGTCTGGCCCGGATTGATAAGAAACTTAGGAAGCGAAAGGCTCTGGCGTTCAGTCTCTATCGTGGTGGTTTTCATTTTCTCCTATCCATTTTGTTCATAAAGAAAAGGAGACTTAAATACAGTTGAATATATGACCGAATATGACAAAGCCTCCGAAATTGTATGCGAATACAAATTAATAACGTAACAAGATTATATGAAGAATCTTAAATATGAAGAAAGATGATATTAAAATAAAGATTTTGGGTTTTTTAAAAATTAATTTGAGCATAAATAATTCTATTAGAATTAATTTTCCCAAAAATTTAGACATGCATTCAGCAAAGCAAAATAGTGATTAGTAGTAATAAAAAAAACTCTAACCTAAAGCGATAATTTACGCCGTAAAATTTATTAGATCACAGTTTTTAAATCCTAGTGTAGAGATTCAAAAATGATTTATCGTTCTTGATACTTTTCATGTGAATTATGCTATCATCATGTACATCACGTGTCTTTTTATGTTGTATGTTCCCTCCGCACGAAAAGTATCCAGCACCACCACCACCCTCGGAGTTGTGATCACGAACTCAGCGGTACCTTCCAGGAACTATCTTTCGAACAAAATGCTGGAATGTCTCACACTACATAACATGCAGAGATAAGCACGTTTTCTCCCCATTTAAGATATCAACGACATACGCTTAATAATTCAGTCTGTTAACAAGGCGACATTAGGAGGACATAACGTCTTCATGTTTGCGTTCAGATCAAACCGCTGTTCCCCAAACCTCTAAATCGTGGTAAAGTTCCCCCATGGATCAACATGCTTTCTGCTCAGTAGGTTAATACTTCATTTAATTGAATTAATGGTAACTAAGCTACATATTTCAGAATGTTTTCAATTAAGCTTAACATGGTATCAGATAATCATGGTGGAAACGTGACGAACCTTGCGACAGCTTCATACCTAATAGTATGCTGTCGAGACGGTCCTACCAAAGTCTTTCGAGGTATTTTGATAGAGTGAGAATTATTTGAAGAAGAGAACAGAGATACATAAATGAATTGTTATAATGTAACCTGTTGCTTAAAAATGTTTACCTTGCACGTCGTAGAAATTTTCTAAACGTTAAGCCCAACATACAACACTTGGAATCTCCAATGCAAGACAAGAAAAAAATTCAGGCTGTTGCCAATTAATGTACCCTAGAAAGTTTCAAAGTTTAAAAGTTAAATGAAATAAAAAAATAAAACTAAATTTATGCATCTCTTCCTCAAGTCCATCAGTAGTGGCCATGTACATATTAAACTTGTTTAAGGTATATCAATAATAAATAACATGATCAATTATAAAGTAAAAAGTGTAACGCGACACAGAAAAAAAAATAGAACTGAATTATAATACTTGTTTCTAATTTTAAAAAATAAAATTAGTATTTAATTATTTGACTTGTACCACGCGAGTTTAGCATCAATTTGTTAGAAAAAGAAAAAAAGCAAAATGAAAACTATACATTGATTAATGAATTTAAAGAAGATAACTTTTAGATCATGTACATCATCGTGTGACATTACTCACGTCATCGCAATTTCTATTTATTTTACTCTTGCAAAGATGACAAAGAACGTGGTTATAGAAGAAGGGTCATATCTTCTAGGCCTTTACGAATCAATTTTAATCGGAAATCCAAAAGATATGTAAACCGTTGGACATTCGTTCTTTTCCGTACACCATCACCATTGGTTTAATCTTAGTTTCACGTGTCAAAATGGCAAATATAGATTTACTACGATTTGACTTTGTGCCAGCTTGTCCCCCATAAAAACATATATGTGACCGTTTACTTTAACTATTTACAGCCATATTTTTACATAATGAACCATTAAATGCAAATTAGATGCTTTCTGACCAGGTCACAAGCTGATGATACTCTGCGTATTTTACCTGGACGATATACAACCGGGCAGTTTCTAAAATTTACTATTTTTAACAAGGCACACTGAAGGAAAATTAACATACAAATCACAAATATGGATACTAACAAACAGCTTGATTTTCTTTCTGTTTATATATTTTATTTTCATAAACGTATCTTGAAAGTCTATGAATTTGTTTTAACTTCCAAACACCATATTATAAAGTCAACGGTAAATCTGCCCGCTGACCATATTTATTGCGGCTGATGACATCATTCGGGAACTATCATATAGTTTCCGCTGAGAAATATGGATTTGTAGAGCTGCTGTCCAAAGATATCTCGCTTAAGTATTTGCAGGATTCTTAAATCATCCTGAATTTTCACCTTTTAATGTAGCATATAATTTTAATTTGTTACCTAGTGTTGTGTGATTAGGGTTCATGACCTGCCGCTGGCCGTTTCATGTGTGTGCTCAAAAAAGTATGCCCTGTGATCTAAAATGGACGTTGTAGTTCCATACAACATTACGGTTTATATGCAAGCAAAGGCTTTTACCTCATTTCACTGGACTAAGAAAATTGAATATACAATCTAAATTACAACCAAAGACAATTTCACCAGCTTCCATGTATAACAGAAGAAATAAATGTTTAATTTGACACAGCCAAATAAAGAAAAACAAAATTATAGTTTAGTAGAAATATCATAATTATGTAATCTAAAGTGAGATCTACGACTACGAAAACGACGACACAAATCAAAGAAATACC